CCAATTAATAGATTTACCAATTACGTTAATACGTGAATATGGAAACAATATTATCAATTAATAGATTTTAATTAATTTCTATTTTACATTTAGTTACGAAATAAATTTTACTACAAAAGTTTGGGCGGGAAAATGAAATAGGAGGATTTTACTTTTATATATATATATATATATATATATATATATATATATATATATTGCATAATTATAGTGTATGCATATTTCCGGTCAAATGAGAACACAATTCGTAGCAGAAGATGGCATAATTAACTTATGGTAATATTGCATTATTATGGTAGAATAAGAACACAATTCGTAGCAGAAGATGGCATAATTAACTTATGGTAATATTGCATTATTATGGTAGAATAATATTATATTATGTATGCTATTGTATAATATTAATTGGTAATATTGTTTCCATATTCACATATAGTAACGTAATAACATAACAATTTGCTATTTAAATTGATCATTCTACTAAACCTAAAGTTTAAGCTTCAAACGTATTTTGCCTCTGTACTCTCCTATTTACACCGAATAACAATGGCTTCAACTCACAGCGTTTTTGTTGGTCGAGAACTTCATCCTAGACTCATATGGAATCACATCACGATTAGAGTGCTCTGTGTCGTTCGTCTTCTAGATACAAGAGGTTCTGAAACAATAAACTCTATAGAGTGTGCAGCCCATGATGTAGAGGTATTTTTTTTTTTACTATATCTTAATATTTTGTATTTCAAAACTTTTAGTTTATGCATATGATTTTTTTACAACATTTTATTTTTACACTACAAATTCAGAAAACTTTTCTACATATGCATATTCCTTAAATGTTTGTTCAAAAGTGGCCGAAGAAATTTAAAGAAGACGGAGTTTATCGAATTAATAGATTTTTGGTAGTTTATAATTTGTATAGAAACAAAACTACTACTCACAGGTATATGATGCAGTTTTGTGTTAAAACCACTGTGGGAGTATTGAAGGATGCAGATTTCCCTACACATATTTATGACAAAGAAGATTATGATTTCTTTGAAGACGTTATTTATTGCTCACTTACATTGTTTTGCTTTGTAAATAACTTTATTGAGGTATTTGACTTTTTTTACCATTCACGACTCTCTGGATGGACAGGTGTCTGAACGTCCTATTGGAAATTTGGAGTCTAACACAAGGAATGTGATTCAAATAATGAGGGATCTATTAAGAGCTCTAAAGGTTGAAATAGTTATTCAAAGATTGAACATCAGTTATAATTCTATATATTTATTTCTATTACAATCGGTCATTTCTTATATTATTCATCGTTGTTATGTAATAGGCATTTGTCACTTCTCAATAAGAATGTGGTTATGGTTTTGTCAATTTTTGGTAATATTTACCTTAAGGGTCGTTTGGTTCACGTAATGTTAGATTACCTTAGGGAATATTAGATTGCTGGGAATGTTAGATTACTAGGAATGTTAGATTCCTGTGTTTGGTTAAAATTGGGTTATGTAATATAATCATGTTTGATTTAGGGTTATCTTTTATACACACACTATAATATTATTAACATATTTTCATATATTTTAATAAATTTACAAATTAAAATAAATAAATAAGATAACGGTATCATATATAATTACCTGATTTTATAATATTAACTAAAATCTTGAACTTGAGAAACAAAATTATTTTATATGCTAACATAACATAATAAAAATAAAAAATATATAATTACAAAAATAATTATATATATATATATATATATATAGGCGAGTTCAGGTGCGACGGTGTCTTACGGTGCGGCGGTGCGGCATCACCAATAGTTCAACAAATATACACCATCAACGTTAGGAATACACCACAGAAAACAGAGAGATATTAGGTACGCATCACCAAACACACACCATTAGGTGTGAGTAAAAACACCATACAGTGTTCGGAAATACACCATTGGGGGTGGTGAGTTATATGGTTTATTTTTTTGGGTCTGTTGTGTATTTTGTGATGTTTTATTGCATTTCATTGTGGTGTGTTTTTCCTACATTGTTGGTGCATATTGTTAACACTGTTGGTGTATTCTGAAATTTCGCCGCACCGCCGCACGGGAAGACCCCGTCGCATTTGAACTTTATTATTATTATTATTATTATTATTATTATTATTATTATTATTATTATTATATATATATATATATAATTATTTTTGTAATTATATATTTTTTATTTTTATATAAAAAACTAACATAACCAATGTTATCTTACATAACCTAAGAACATTCCCTTCAAAATCCTATGTGGAGGGAATGTTATATTCCCTAAGATAATATGAACCAAACATAGGAATGTGAGTTTTGAAATGTCACATTCCCTTGGTTATGTTATATAACCTGAACCAAATGCCACCTTAATTTACTCCTATTCTGCACTATGTTTTTAAATTTATGAATTAGAATCACACTCGTGTTACGAATTTACTCCAAAATTTTAAAAATTAAAATCGAATTTACAAATGTGGTTTCGATTTTGCCAATTTTTGGTAAGATTTACCTTAAGTATAATTTAACAATTTAATCAATTTTAATTTATTTTAATTTACATAATTTATTTAATAATATATATATATATATATATATATATATATATATATAATTTTAAGAATGTAGTTCTGGTTTTGCTGGTAATATTTACCTTAATTTACTCCTATTCTGCACTATGTTTTTAAATTTTCAAATTAGAATCACACTCGTGTTATGAATTTACTCCGAAATTTCAAAAATTAGACTCAAATTTACGAATGTGGTTCCGATTTTGCCAATTTTTGGTAAGATTTTTCTTAAGTATAATATGCAGGCACATCGGTTATCCACATCTGTTCATAACATTCAAATGCAACCCAAAGTGGCCTGAGATTGAGCGGTATGTTGCACAATGTGGCCTTAAAGCTGAGGATAGACCCAATATTATTTGTCGCGTGTTTAAGATGAACTTGATGCTATGATTGAAGAGATCAAAACAGAAAAGCTGTTTGGCGACATATGTGGAGGCATTTGATTATCATACATACTTTAATGTGTCATAATTAAATCTAAATGCCATGTATAAAATTCAACTATTTTTTTTTAATTTTCTACTCAGTTATCTACACGATTGAATTTCAAAAAAGAGGACTCTCTTACGCGCACATATTGCTACTTACCAAAAGAATAAATCGGGCAAATTCTGTAGCCGAAATTGATGCCTTGATTTCAGCTGAAATTCCAGACCCAAATGCTGACATTGAGTACAATGACGTAGTTAGCGAATTCATGTTGCACAGACCATGTGGACAACTCCGGAAGAATTCACCGTGTATGGTAAATGGGAAATGTTCAAAGTATTTTCCGAAAAAATATGTTAGTTAGAAGATTTTGGATAAAGATGGTTACCCAATCTACAGAAGGCGTGGCAATAGACGCACAATTAGTAGGAATGGAATCGAACTTAATAATCGTTATGTTGTCGCACATAATAAACATCTGCTTCTAAAATATCGCACACATATTAACGTCGAATGATGCAACCAGTCAAGATGGATTAAATATTTATTCAAATACGTGAATAAAGGAAATGATCGAGTCACGGCAGAGTTCATGAGTAATTCTACGAATACACTCAATGGTGATGCGATCGATAAGATTAACACGTACTACGATTGTCGCTATATATCAGCATGTGAAGCCACCTGGCGGCGGTTTGGGTATGTGATACATTATCGCACGCCACCCGAGGAGAGGTTAAATTTCCACTTAGAGCACCAATAGAATATTGTCTATGGGGAAGATCAAACCCTCGACAAGATTGTCCAGAACCAAATGGTTAAGCAAAGCCAGTTCAAAGATTGGTTTTAGGCAAACAAAAATACAAAGATTCTCGGTCGCTCACTTATGCAAAGTTTCCCAGTAAGTTTGTTTGGAGACAAGATCTGCATGAATGGCATCCACGGAAGAAAGGATTCTCCATACGACGATTGTTCTATGTTCCGCCAGGGTGTGGAGAATTATACTATCTAAGATGCCTTTTAAATATCATACGTGCACCTTCAAGCCACGAGGATATTCGCACGGTTAGGGGGGTCATTCACAAATCGTTTAGGGATGCATGTTATGAATATGGATTATTAGATGATGAGAAGGAGTACATCGATGGTATTACTAACTCAAGTTACTGGGCATCCGCATCTGCATTACGAAGGTTGTTTGCTACGTTGCTGACTTCAAGTTCAATTAGTAGACCCGAGGTGGTGTGGAATGCCGTTTGGGAATTTCTTGCGGAGCATGCACAGTTTCATCGTCGACATCTCATGCATAATATAGGTATATCGACATCCAATCTATTTATTCGACATTCTTATTTGCTTATCATTATTTAAAAAAAAAAAAAAAAAAACTCATTTTTTGACTTTGTTTTTGTTTCGTTTTTAGACTATGAAGATTTGTTGTTATCGGAATATGATAAGCAACAGTTTGCTCTGGTAGAATTGGAGAAGTTGCTATCTTTGTGGGAGAAGAACCTGAGCGACTACCCAGAAATGCCACTTCTAGAAGAAAGCAGCATTGGATTGACGGAAAACATGTTGATATCCGAAGAGTTGGTGTACAACAAGGAATCATTGAACGCAAAGCATGAAACATTGGTAACACAATTGACGGACGAACAAAAGAATGTTTACGACTCTATGATGAATGATATTGATGCTAATGGAGGGGGATTGTTCTTTATGTATGGTTCCAGAGGAACAGACAAGATGTTCGTGTGGAGAACATTATCTTCAAAGATAAGGAGTCGTGGAGATACTGTTCTAAACGTTGCTTCAAGTGGAATAACATCTTTGCTCTTGCCAGGTGGCAAGACAACGCATTCTCGATTTGCTATACCACTCTCATTGAATGAAGATTCCACGTGCAATATATTGCAAGTGACCTTTGCGAACGTATAATAAGGAGCAAATTGATAATATGGGATGAAGCACTGATGACGCACAAATACTATTTTGAGGCTTTCGACAAAACCATGAGGGATCTATTGAGGTTCACCATACCAGGCAGTACTGAGAAAACATTTGGTGGAAAGACGGTAGTTTTGGACGGTGATTTTAGACAGATTCTTCCAATTATTCCAAAAGCAACGAGACCAATGGTTGTGGGAGCAACTATTAATTCTTCATACCTCTGGAGGAATTGCAAGGTATTGAGACTCACGAAGAACTTGAGACTACAGAGCTTAGCTTCAGACGAAGATAGACAGACGGTTGATTGGTTTACAGGATTTGTAAACAATGGTTTGTTTGAGATCGATATTCCGCCAAGGTTTCTGTTGAAGTGTAGACCTGATCCAATCGCAACTATAGTTGAAATCACCTTCCCAAGCGCGAAATATTGAAGGCTTGAAGAGTCGCACCTAGAAGGACGAGTGATCCTATCACTGACTTTAGATGTTGTTGATCAAATTAATCAGTATATGTGTGACATGAACATTGCAGAAGGTCGAACATATATGATAGTACTAATTCCACGTAGTGCGGTCAAAGTCATAATATGACAAAGATAAAGCAAGCAAATCTTTTGTTGATCGTGTTAAAGGACCTAATACAATCTAAGTGGCTATTCCGAGGGCTGACTGACTGCGGTCGGGATGCTCTGTAAATAGCCTATTGATCGTTCCAAAAGTCCCTCACGCTGTTGCCGCCGTGGGTATTTATAGCCGCTAGGCCGGAGACACAGCTCCGGCCGGCCGGCATGTAACCCACGTAGCAACCACGTGTCTTCACCCCGCGAGCCCTGACTGTCAGCGCGTAACGTTGCCACGTGCTTCTTCTCAACTCTCGCATCCAAGGGCCATCAATCGGGTGTTGAAGACGTCAGTCGGGAGATGTGCCGGTCGGGTCCGACCGGGTTCCTTTAAAGGTATCCGACCTGTAAACCTGCATAAACAACAATAAAAACACATGCCAGGTCGGTCGGGGTATTCCCTACCAAGAGCCCCCCCAGCCCGGGCCTTTTTAACCGCTCGGGAAAAAATGGGACGGGATGAAGAAGTCCAATCGTCCGCCGCCACCCGACCGGACAGCTGTCATTCTGTCGTGCCACGTGTCGGCCTCTGCGCGCCTCTGAGACTGCAACGGTCGCCTCGGAGTCTGGAGCGATCGCGTCGCGCAAGTGGGTCGTTTCCCGCCCAAAAGTTCTTCTATAAATAGGCCCTTTTGAAATGCATTTGAACTTCTACCAACCCTCTAAGTCGATCGGAGCATCCCGAGCAAGCAACTTCAAGAGTCGGTCGAGCAACCACAGCTTCAACATTCTCTGCTAACTGCAATCAGTCGGTAAGTCCTCTTTCTTTTAGCTTTTTACTTTTTGCTTTACATTACCTCCCCATGGCCGACGACGGGCCTTAACTGACCACGACTGGGTGGTACTCGACCCTAACGATATCCCGACCGCCCTTTAGGAAGACAGCATGTCGGATACAGACAGTCAGAACATATCGGGTGCAGATTATGACGACGCGGTCGAGCAGATGAGCGAGGAGGTAGATATCATGGGGTCTTCACCAGAGGTCGTTCAAAGACCACAAAGAACGTCTGAGCGACGAAGGCGGTCTAGCTCGGAGGGATCATCTAGCTCGATCGGATCGAGCAGCTGAAGCGGCGAGACTACAACGAGCGAGCACCGCTCCTCGACTGAAGCGGCTCGGGAAACGCCAACCCGGGTAATTGGGGATTACCCCCAGGCAGCACCTCCGACTAACGATCGGGAGGCCACACCAGACCCGATCGAAGAAGACCCGGTCGCTCCACCCGCACCGGCCGATGACGAGTTCGTTTTCCTAAACAGCGAAAGCGTCGAACAACAAGAGAGCCTGCTGACGTCGGGGGAAGCGGCGAGGATCTCCGCCATGCTCACCGGTCGGGTTCGTTTCGACACCCGATGACATCTGGGAAATGTCATCGAGCGCCATCAAGGCAAATGGATCGGGATGCACTACGACTCACTTCAAGCACCGATCCAGATCCCCTTCTTCGCTCTCTTGACCGCATTCCTGGGCTACTACCGAGTGGTCCCGGCCCAGATCCACCCGAACGCGCATAGAATCTTGGCGTGCTTTCCCCAAATCTGCGCTCGGCACGAGGTCGCCTATACAATGGAGTTGTTCAACTTCATCTACCAAGTGAAGACCCTACCGGCCACGTACGGAGGCGGATTCCTAATGATCCAATCCCGGACGGACTTATGCACGATCGAGAGCTTGCCCGGGAATAACAAGGGCTGGAAGAATAGGATCTTCTCGGTCGAGTACGACCCGTGGATCCTCCCGGTCGAAAGGACGTGGAGCACCCATTATAGGAAGCAAGTTACGCCGGTCGAGACGAAAGCCCTCCAGGATGCTGTCTCCAAGATCTCGAGCGAGATCCATGAATACAAGATTTTCCGCTCGAGAGAGAGCTATGATGAAGCCCGACTGCCACCGCCGCGGTACGATCTTGAAGAGAAGTACCAGCCGGAGCCAACGGGCGTAACGATTGCGAGGGTAGCTACTCGGGTCGAGCCGACGAACGAAGGTCTAACACTAACTGATCGTCCCCGACCATAACTCCCCTATCTAACCACCTTGTTCTTTGTTTGCAGAAATGGCACCAACGGGTTTTGATGAAGAGAATGCTCCCCGAGCCCCCCGAGCCAAGATTGCGGTCGGGAAGAAGAAGACGACGGCCGGGTCATCCAAGGAACAACAAGTCCCGGTCGCGCGGCCACTAGGCACGACCATCACCGTCACCACAGCCAAAGGCTATATGGTCGATGCATCGGACGTCTTGGTCTCCCGGGTGACTGCCCATAAGGGCAAGGAAAAAGCGGCCGAAAAGGAGGCCGAGGACGGAGGCGCACTGAAGCGCCGAAGGAAGCAGGGCAGCCCGAGCCCTCCAGTCGGGGCCATCACGGGCGATGCGTCCATCCTCACCCGGATCGGCAATCTCGGGCCGGTCAGGGAGGATATGACCAAGCTGACCCCGACCCAGGTGGGCGAGAAGATTGGCCACGATCTGGTCGAGGTAAGGAATCTTCGTCTTCATATTTTTATACAACTGTCTTTGCTCGGGCTAATCCTGACCACTTTTTTGCAGATATCCCGAGCAACCCAACTCCTCCAACGTCGAGCGCTGCTGGCCAATGAAGCCGATGCATTGAAGAAAGTCGCCGACCGGAGATTGGGGGAGATTACCGACCTCCAAGCTGAGCTAAAAAAAAGTGAAGGAAGGTTGGGAGCTCGCGGAAAAGGCGGCTCGGGAGGCAAAGGGGGCCCAAGAGCTGGCGGAGAAGGCCGCCAAGGAAGCCCTCAGGGAGGCGTCAGAGCTCAAGTCCCGATTGGGCAACCTCGGCGAGCTGGCGCGATTTCTCTACTGGGACGAGGCATCGGGCACAAAGTTCCTCCGCGAGACCCGGAAGACCAAGGTCGGGGAGGAGCTGATATGGACGTTCGGGCGCTGGGCATTCAAATCCGGCCAGCGGAGGATGCGCGCCACGACCAAGGAAATCATGGAGGAAGTGCTGGAAGGGGACGACCTCCAGCTGGTCTTAACAACCCTCCCGGATTAAGTCCCCGATCCTGGCCTTGCTCCCTTCAGCCCCGAGGACGATGTAGCTGAACCGAGCGGTGCTGCGAAGAAGTAGTCTAGGTCCTGTAGATTCCGACCGTGAATTTTACTTCTTCGTTCTTCTCTTTTGTACACTCCGTCGAGAGCCCGGTCCCGATTTGTACCGGCCGCTTTTTGGTTTATAAAACTTAAGTTTTTCTTTCAAGTTATCTTGTTCGGGTTTTACTTCTTATGTGTTAACTTTTATTTGTTTGTACGCCAGTCGTCCTTTGCCCGACCCTTCGGCCCAATGGCCTGGTCGTGCACGTCCCGACCCAATGGCCTTTTGACCTTTCGAAAACTTCGAAAAACTTTTTTTTTGCCTGTTCGTTCGGGGTTTTCCAGGTCGCCTGGCCTTGTGATTTGGCCTTTTGGCCTTTCGAAAATTTCGAAAAACTTTTTTGGCCTGTCCGTTCGGGGTTTTCCCGGTCGCCTGGCCTTGTGATTTCCTTCCTTAACCCTAGCCCCCACACTGTTGTGCACACAAGGCACGAGTGAGTGCGACAGTGGAAAAAAGATGGACGAATCGGGGAGTTTTGATGTAGCTCTGGTTTCCCCGATCGGTGGCGTGACCCGAGTGTCCGCCGAAGATGAGCGCATTAGCCGGTCGTTAAAATTCACCCGGCAAAAATGTAGATGGCTATTAGAGCCAATTAGGTAGATGGCTATTAGAGCCAATTAGGTAGATGGCTATTAGAGCCAATTAGCTGTACACCCCTATCGGCCGGGACCGAGGGAGAGGCGTTATGTGGGGAGAAAGCCCCTCTTCATTTGCTGCTGCCGAGTCTCGATCGGGTAGATTCCGAGCACGACTTGTTGGTGAGGTCGATTTAAAACAACCTACTTCAGGCATATGCAATTAAAATAACCGATCGGGCCGCCGTATGCATACGGTCGAGCAAACACCGATCGTATATACATTAATAACTACCGTTCGCAGACGGTTAATAATTTACAAACTTATAAGCGATAGACGATGGACGGGCCCACTCGCAGGTCTAAGCCCCCACTCCATCTATAATTACAAAAATTAATGCATGAAGAGGACGAGGTGCTCGGAGTTCCTCGTACCCTCGATCTGTCTCCCGGTCGTTGTCTCCAACCGGTAGGTTCCCGGCCGCACGACGGCCGTGATGATATACGGACCTTCCCAATTTTGAGCTAGCTTTCCACCTTCTAAAGGCTGACTTGCCTCTCAACGGCGTAGAACATAGTCTCCGACCTGGAAATATCGAGGGTTGACCCGAACGTCCTTCGAGCTCTTCACTCTCTTCTGATATTCGGCAATACGCCGAGCGGCTAGCTCCCTCTTCTCCTTGACCCCGTCAAGATCCACGACCATGGAGTGTTCATTTTCCTCAGCGTTGTAAGATCGCTCCCTAACGGTCGGGATCCATGCCTCGATCGGGAGACGAGCCTCGGCCCCATAGACTAGGGTGAATGGCGTCTCCAAAGTTGCTTCTCTGGGGGTCGTGCGATAAGTCCAGAGAACATAAGGGAGCTCATCGGCCCAACTACGACCGGCAGAGTGCAACTTCTTCTTCAGACCTTCCAGAATTGTCCGATTGGCATTCTCGACCTGTCCATTTCCCTGGGGGTAAGCCACCGAAGATCGGATGGAGGTTGTCCCGATCGTGGCAAGAAAGTTCTGAAAGTATTGGCTCACAAACTGGCGGCCGTTATCGCTGATAAGATGCACGGGCACGCCGAATCGGGAAATGACATTGCGCCAAAGAAACCTAGCACACTGTTG